GATTAGGTCCGGTTGATAAGGGCCCTTAAAGGAAGAAGGGAAAAACCTAACGGTAGTTTAGCTACCTGATCGATAAGCTAAGCCGCTACTTGATTTCTGAACCTTGATGGTTCTGATAGGTATTCCATGGTTGTGTACCATGCCTTGATAGTCCTCAATTATACAGGACTGGTTAGAAACTGAACGTATCCTGCTGCTAGTCACCAGCGTAGGGTGAAAGTACTTCTGACACGTGATTTTATGATCACGTCCAGCTTGAATGGATCTATCAAGAAACTTCGAGAAAAACAAGAGGTAAGAAGAGAAAACTGCCGTTGCGAAACTGTTGGTTGAAGAACTTCTACACTCTTTCATCCATCTGACTCCGCCTCTCCTGTGTTCACATGTGGTGACTATGATAGTACGAAGATAAGCAGCAATCAACAATGACGTTTTCCGTTCATATTTTCTTCACAATCAACTCTGACTCCAACTGTGATACTTCTTCGTTTTACTTCTGCTTGTTTTACTAAGCACAGTTTTCCGCTCAGGTGTAGATATAAGCTGGGTCCTGTTCAAACCCACGCAACACGTGCGACAAGCTTTCGCTTTGCTACCGCATTTATTGCTTGCATTGTTTAGCGTCATTTCGGCATGTATTCGGTACGATATAGTACCACGATACGCCAATAAACGTCTACGACTCCCACGAGTGCTTTTGTCTACCTCGGGCAACAAAACAATAGGAGGTGGCGCGCAATTCGAGATTCGTAAGAAGACTCACCGGCAGGCCGTCGACGCCGGTTAGCTTAACAGCTTTCAGCATACACTTCGAGATATGTTCATGAGCCGATGGCATCCAGGTTACCGATGCAATTCATTTGGTGGTGGTATACAACAGGTACGCTTTTGGCTATTGAGCCATCTGAGTCTGTCTACAGCACGGTAGCATCTCTGACCCTGTCAGGTTCCCAGAGCAAAACGTACCAGCTGCAGTCCATTCAGGGCTCAGCCTAGATCCAGCATAGGAGGATGCTGGTGGTTTGTACGGTGCCCCTAAGTGCCCTCATCTACCAGTCCAAGCTGCAATCCGTTATCGGTGGAAACAGGTGCGTGCCATTTTTACATCCATTCAAACTTTCACCCATAGTTACTGATTTTTCTCTCTCTACTCTCCCCTTCCGGTCCATATTGGGTACAGCGTCGGTGCACAATTAGAGTAGTTGATTCCTCGGTGAATCGTGATTGGGTTTGTTGTCCCAACTCCGCTCTATATCGGTCTGCTACCACTCACCTCTTGAGTGGAGAGTAAACTACGCTTACCACTTTGGCACTTGGGTTGTTGTTTATTTGTAAGGTATGGGTGCATCAGCTTCCCTGCTGCCGTTTGGTCTCACAGTCATTCTGATAAGAGATACACATGGGGCTCAACCTCCTCACCTGTCTCCTCTGACCTTCTCAAGGCTTGGGCTATCTACGGAGGAAAATAATTTATGCCAAGATGCTCCTTTCTCCTATGCACGGTCAGTGATGCATATCTGCTTGCATGCACATCGTCGTGCCTTCAACAGGCTTATCGTCGATCAGTTGTCAATCGCGGTATGATCACAAGAGCAAACGTTGAGAGATGTAAGAGATAGAGCACACGGGGCTTCAGAACGGCCATACCGTGGATAAAACGCCTCTGTTTATAAGGCTACATCTGGGAATACCGCCGCCCAATATTTGTATAGCTTGGATTTAAATTGGACCAACGTTGGTGCTGAGATTACCACTTGACGCAGTTTCTTCTAGTTAACCGCCAGGCTTCTATCTATCTGTGACACATTCTGATGCAGCAGTTGTGCTCACATTGTATTCCATTGTCTACACACACAGTACACATCCCGAGTCTCAAACCTCGAGAAGTGGAACCAACCCCACTCGGTGAATACTTGACATTATAATTCTTTCGTTTTGTGTCGAATCCACTAATTTGCTTCCTCTTTTTGACCTGCGTGTTTTTGTGTGCGCACTTTCCTTTTTATATACGGATATCAATACATATGCTTTAGGATACTTTTGCCCTCCGCATTTTGTGTCGCAACATGCTATTCCCCTCTTCCCTTCTCAGCTGGGTACTACCCCAGACTGCCGAGTTTTACCCTTTCTATTGCAGATTCGGTTGGCTTGGGCCTGCCGAAGGCTTGGGGTCTACACCCACAATGGACAATTTGGCTCCGGCAATGGTTGTTGGGCGCGGTTGTATCCACCGTTCAGACTACATGCGTCCGCATTCCGGACCAGGTTGAGGATCACACCCCCTGCCTCACCTACAAGGTGTTTTAAGGTTGGGTGTCCAGCGTGTAGTCAGTCCCACATCAAAGCGACCAACGCCTAAATAATATAAATTAAAACCAATCAGTCCGTTAACGGTGAAGCCCCGAAGCCCATTGTTTAGTGAACACAGAAGTCCTCCCAACTGTATCGAGATATGAAACAGTTTATTCACAAGTCATCTGTCGTCTCTTCTTGAATTCTGTATTCTCCTTCAGCTCCACTGCAGCTCTGCCTCTAAAAATATGTATCTTTCTTCGTTGCTATTCTGTTTCTGTTCTTTGAACTCGCTTCCGCGTATTTTATCCCGAGCGGATATTCCAACTCCCAATTTCCCATCTTGCCATTACTTTTCATAAGACATAAGTTCGCCATAAAACATCACCCAAAAACTCCATCTTTATGACCTTGTCCACTTTGTGTTTCGTTTTCAACGCAAGGGCCATTTGCGATATTCTGCGTACTTGTTTGAAAATCACTTTCCTACACTCTGTGTACTATTACGTTTTGCTTTCCACAGTTCACGTTTCATATTGTTGTACATTTTGATCATGCGCACTAGCATGCTTGGCGGGCTTCGCGAAATATACCGTTATTATTATTATTATTATTATTCCAGGGGTTAACTGCTCTATGAACAAAGAACTTTGCTCTGATGTCCCTAAGTGCCCTTGGTTTCATCAATTTTCACTCGTGGCCCCTGAGAGCCGAGTTTTATTGTATCTGATGAGAACCAGTGCTCGTGACCGAGCTCCCCTTTAGTTGTTTATAGGCCTCGATCAGGTCGCCACGTAGTCTCCTCCATTGTAAGGAGAATAAGTTTAGGCTCCTCAACCTATCTTCATCCGGTAACCCTCTCATATCAGCGATCATCCGAGTAGACGCGTTGTACCTGTTCTAGTGTTTGTTAATCCTGAACCAGACTTAGAGCCCAAGACTGAATGCAATACTCTAGACGCGGCCTTACCAAAGTTTGTGCAGTGGTAGCAGCACTTTTGAGCCTCTGGAGGCTACTAGCCTTAGGAATTGGAACAGTGCTTGATTTACCCCTGATGCAGCAGCTATACATTGACCGGAGGTTTTAAAGTTCTCGTTCACTTATACACCGAGGTTCTGGACCACAGTAGCTCTGTCGATGGAATGAGAACCGGAAGATTCAAACATCCGGAACCTGTGCAAGAGCAAGATCAGGGAATTCTTCAACCGGCAACAGAAAGATATCGTAGTCAGGACAAGAATAAACCCCTCCTGGCTCTTCAAACTTCTTCACCTTAGAAGGCAACCTAGTTGTTCTACTTTAGCTCTAAAACTTCATGACGGCTCCGCAATTACCTCACCCGAAGAGGTAGCAGATACGTTCCGAACACACTTCCGAGATATTTTCAACTCCGCCCCACCTACCTTCTTTCCTGCTCTACAGACTAAGTCAAGTATAACCCCTATTGAACAATACATTGTCCAGACTGAAGAAGTACTAAAACGTCCAAAGTCATTAAACCCTTATAGCTCAATAGGCCCAGACGAGGTCCATCCCAGAATACTTAAAGAGACGTCACCCGTGCTAGCCCCACATTACGGGTGGCTGTTTCAGAACTGCCTAGATAAATGTGAATTCCCTGAGGCCTGGAAAGAGGCTATCATATCATCGATCTACAAAAAGGGACCCCGGCATCACGCTAACAGCTACAGACCGATAAGTCTAACTAGCATTCCCAGCAAAATTTTCGAACGTCTCATTAAGAGACACATTATTAAACACCTGGAGGAAAACAACCTTCTCTCAATCTTTCAACACGGCTTTGTTCCTGGCAGATCATGCATCACCAATATGCTATATGTCATGGTTTTAGGACGGAGTGCACAAAATCCGTCCTGCCACGGAGCGACGCGCGTCACACCACAAGTGCACTCGTGACGCCCAAACCGAATCGACTCCTGATTGGATGACTAAGGCGAATCAAAAAGCTGTCGTCCGGTCAATCAACCTGAGTGTCAAGATAACGATCTGATTGGCGCGTCACCACGTCTCCTCGCTTACGCCCAACTGACCACATACATTTGTTTTTTGTGTCATGATCAAATATACACTCTGACTGTCGTTTCTCAGCAATATTCTTTCTCCAGTTGTTGGGGCCTAGACAAAGAGGCATACGTATCGATCACATCGTCTTGACACAAGACATGACACATGGAAAGTCTAACCCAGGCCTATGATAATGGTAAAATCTCACATGCAATCTTCATAGACTTTGCCAAAGCCTTTGACCGGGTACCGCATTCTCCACTAATGGACAAGGTGGAAATGTATGGTATCAGAGGCCGGCTTCTTAATCTTCTAGGCAGCGTTCTATCCTCGCGCTCCTTCTCTGTCAGAGCAGGAACCTCGTTCTCCAACTCCTCCCCGATGACAATAGGTATTCCCCAGGGATCCGTGCTAGGTCCACTACTTTTCTTTCTCTGCATAAATGAGCTCCCGAGCAAAATTCCAGTCCACATTGCTATCTATGCTGATGATGTCACAATCTGGGGAAGTGACACATCAACAGTGCAGGCAGCCATGGATATCACCAAACCATGTTCATCAGGCTGGAGCCTACCAATAAATGATGACAAATGTGTAAGTATGTCCTTTGGCATAGGCTGCGCGCACACCTTCAATGTGTGCAATACAGCCCGACTTCAGACTGTCAACCAGCATAAGATCCTTGGCTTCTGGCTATCTAACTCTCTATGCTTTTCTTGCCATCACCACAAAGCCCGATAAAAGGCTTTTGGAATACTCAACTTTATCAAGCGCTCCTTCCCTCGCTTTGATAAAGAAGGTTTTCAACTCTCATATGGCACTTATGTAAGACCGCTATTGGAATACGGAGCCTAGATTGCATGCTCTGGGCTTGTGGGTGATCGTAACTCCCTCGAACGAGTTCAGCGAGCAGCCACAAAGCTAGTCTCAGGTCTTTTCCATGTTCCATACTCCATCCGTCTCACCATACTGAACCTTTACACCTTAGACACCCGCCGCGTTAGAGCGGACATTTTTCTTCTTTACCACTTATTCCCCACGGGCACAGCTAACCAGTTCTTCACCCCATGTAGCTTAGATAGTCTTCGTGTTTACAGCAAAAAGTTGTTTAAGCCTCGGCCCGGCACCCGAGTTCGTCACTGGTTCTTTACCCATAGAGTCATTCCATTATGGAACAGCCTCCCGCAGGAGGTTGTTGATGCGCCTTTAAAGAGCATGTTCAAACACGAGCTCGATATATTCCTTAGTCTTAAACACACTACCACCAACTACCATTAGTTGTTCGCTCTAGATCTGTTCATCTATCTCTCCACCCACCGCGTTATCGCTTTCAATGCATTTATCCTAACTGCATTGAGTCACAATTTTTGTTGTTGTTGCGTATTTTGTGCATGGAAAAACAAAACAAAAAAGAAAAAGAAAACAAAAGCGAAAACGAAAAAAACAGAAAACCTTTTCTGAAAACAAGTGTCATAAATTTCCTTCGTACGTCTAGGTGTGCATCATATCAATTTTACCTACTTGCATTTAAAAATGTGTTCACCATCTAGATGCGCATAATTGTGCACTCCAAGCGGGTACTGTACCCGTCCCCGCCCTTCTTCCCTTCTAGATTTTTCCTTTCCGTTACCCGAACCCCCTTCTCAATTATCCTAAGTAGCGACCGGTGCTCTCAAATTCTCGTCAGCGGGTGCTGCCTATCAATCGAAAACCGAAAAACAAAGATCCGAGAGCATTGGGCTCAGCCTCGAACATGTGAAATACTTCAAGACTTCAAGATCCCAAGAATCTCATTTCACTGGTTTCATCATCCAGCAGTAGCTGTATGCACTTACTTACGTTCAGCGAAAGCTCCCAGACAGTTGCCCAGTTTTGCAGAAGGTCCAGATCCCTCTGGACTTACTCTGATTCCGGAGACCCTACTATCTCGAGGTCTTCGGCAAAGAAGTAACTGGGACGGTGCAGTCCCTGCGTCAGGTCATTAATATAGATCAGGAACAGTAGTGGCCCCAAGACTGAGCCCTGAGGATATTTGTGCACTACAAGCGGTTACTGCTCCCCACCCCTCCCGTCTTCCTTTTCAGGTTCCTCCCTTCAATTACCTGAATCCCCATTGAATTCCCCTCACTAGCGGACCGTGCTCTCAAATTCTCGTCAGCGGNAGTCAATACTGTTAAGGATAACTTTTATGTTAACGACTGCATGTTTTCAGTGCAAAGTATCATATAGGCCAAGTTACTAGTGAAAGAACTAGGAGATATGGATTTCATCTCACCAAGTGGTTTTCCAACTGTCCTGATTTATTGTCAGATATCCCAAGCACTTCAACTCAAGCGACTGAGGTGGACATTGATTTGCAGAGGTCTGATCAACGGGCTCTAGGAGTTCATTGGCGTGTCTCTGATGATAGTTTCACATTTGAGTTGCGTCTTCCGGCCTCGACGTTTACGAAACGAGGTATACTGAGTTGTGTCGCATCGTTATACGACCCTCTTGGGATAGTAGCTCTATTTGTTTGGACTGTTCTGGAGGTTCCAGCGTTATATCCCTAGTGACTGTTTTCTCAGGAGACCCGCCGTGAGTTTTCCTTGATAAGGAACTCGACGGAGATGAGGCAGAATCCGTAGGTTGTTTCGACTCATCTGCCGGAGCAGACCGTAGCCACATTGTTGAACGTCTTGATCGTGTTGTTGAGATAGGTCGAACGGTGCGACAGGAGCTCGTTCGTTTTACAGTAACGCACAGTTTTGGCGACTGGACGGATGCGTTTGGGCGCCGATTACGCATTACATTACTGTTCTGTGAAGCATCACTAGCGGCCAATTTTCGTGCGTTCAGCGCAGCCTCAGTGGCCGCACGCAACTTGGCCTTGACACGATTTAGGCGCGTCCCAATGTGACGCAATGAGTACGCCGAAGAAAGAGATCGGCACGCCAGACCAGCAGAGGACCCTTTGGGTAGTACGCCATTGGCGTGGTTCAATCCCGGGAGTGCCGAGACCAGGTGGGCCATTTTCTCGGACAGTGTGTCACAGACACCATCCGAAAAGGCAGTATGGCCTTTCACAGTTCCTTTGTCCTGTGTTTTTGATGCAGCTTCAGCATGGGAATTGCCCAGCGGATTTGGTCGACCGATTGTATTCCACGGGCCGTCCACCTGATTGGTTAGACAGCGAAGGGGTGAGTTGTTGAGTTGAGTTGCATTCTCACCCCGTGGATCTTTGATAATTTTTCTCTCCCGAAGTCCAAACGCCAATTGCGGTCGTTTTTAGGATTAATACGATACGATGCAAAATTTGTACCGCACTTTGCTGAAAAGGCTGCCTCCTTGTTTCAGTTGCTGAGAAGGGATAGGAAGTTTGAGTGGACGCCAGAGTTGGAGACGGTCTTCCTGTAGCTAAAAACAATAACGGCTTCTGAAAGAAGATGTCTGAAAATACCAAATCCTGCTGAAACCTTCACTCTGTCCGTCGATGCTAGCGATATTGGAATCGGAGCAGTGCTGTCACAACCTTCCGGAGTAA